TTGTAGCAGTCCAAGATTTGAAGCTGATCTCATTCGACGACGTGAGGATGAATTAAGACATGCTCAAGATATTCGAGAACATTATGAACGCAAACTTGAACGCACTAACAATTTATATTTAGAATTAAGTGCTGTTTTATTGCAATTGGAACAACGTGAACGAGATGTAATTAAGTAAGTAATAAATTTGTAATGGAATATTTGTATGATTAACAATAAATAATGAATATATTTTATTTTTTAGACGAGAACAACAAAATGGATATAAGCAATGTAAGAAACGACTTGTACATCCTCTTTTAAAAGCTCAAGAAAGACTTCATCGTAGACGTAATCCTCAATTTTCGACATCATCTACTCCAACGACTCCACCATCTCCAACAGATTGTCCTCAAAGTCCTATAAAAGCAACTATGTATACACAACTAAATGAATCTAATCAACCAGAAACAGTTTTAGCTCCTAATAATAGTTTTAAACAACGCAAATATAGGCATCGCAGGGTAGGATCTGGTTGTGGTGTAAATTCTAGTCCACGATCAAGTCCTCATCGTGAAAGAAAAGTATGTATTTAATTTGAAGACATATATTTGTTATTTAATAAAAATATAGCGCTGACTGTATCTTTGTTTTCAGAGCACAGAAGTATGTGCACGTTTTGTTGACAATCAAACACAAACAGATATAATGGATATTAATGAAACTGATTTTAATCCTGTTGAACGTATAACAATTCCATCAATAGAAAAGCTTTCTGTAAATAGTCTTAATAAACAATCATTAAATAAACAAGCAGCAGAGTGTTTAAATGGAAATTCAATTTTATCCGAAGCTCATTATAGAATAGAATCTAGTCCATGTTCCAGTCCTGAACCTTCAAATGAAAATCGTACAAATGGAAATGAACGTTTAAAGGACTGTAGCGATGATGATAATCTAGAAACGCTTGGCCGAAAAGTTAGTGAAATTATTAATGCTAATCGTCTTATTTCTTCTATAGATAATGGAAATTGTGATGATATAATACAACACAGGTAAAATATTTAATATATATATTTAAAAGTATAAAATTAATAAAAAATATAAAAAATATGAAATTTAATAATAATAATAATTAGACATAACAAATAATTTCTTTTAGAAATAAAGAAGAATCTATAAAATTACCTGGACATTTTTGTGGAATAATTGTTAACAATACACCACAAGAACAATCAGAAAGTAAAAATCGACCTTGTTCCGAAAGTATGGATACTTTATGTGATCGTGAAGATGATGCATGTGAAGAAAGTTGGTCAGATGAAGAGGGTGAAGATCCAAGTTATACATATAATTATTCTCTTAGACGAAGAAGGTATTTTTTAATGTAAAAATTTTTTAATATGAAAACATCAAATTAATTTATATTCTAATTTAATTTATTTTATAGTATTGCAAGAAGACCAATTGGTCCTGGATGTAGATTAAGAAGATTTAAACATGCAATGGTACGAATAGAAGGAGTATTAGCTTCTGATGAAGAAAATACTTCTGAATATTCACATCCTCCGTCCAGTCAATCCTCCACGTTAGAAAGTAATCCCGATATGCAAAGAGTATTTCGTAATATTCACTATTCTCATAAGGTGAGTTAAAATAAATATTATTTGTAATTTTTATGTAAGATATAATAAATTATATTTTTGTTTTTATTTAGAGAAAAGAAATAGATGATGTTTCTGATACATCAAGTCAATCAGAAACAGATGAAGTCAGTGAGATTACAATTGCATCTCAACCAATAGATGCAAATTTAAAAATAGAAAGTAGTGTATAAATTAACAAATTTTTTATATTTCATTTTCGAGTGATATATTACAGTACCTAACAGCCAGTGCATTTTTGTAATGTATGTTTTCATTCTGTGTTAAATATTGTAGATATTTATCAATTTAAGATATGTTAGATATATATGTACATTAATTTTGCATTATTATTAATGAAATATTAGATGCAATGCATTATTTATCAATGAAATATTAGATTAATATTATCGAAATATTGAATAGTTACTGAAAAAAGTTTGAAATCACATTCTAAAACAAAATTAGAGTTAAATTATTTTTTTTTTTTGAAGTTTATTATTCAAATTCAATAATTGAATTAATTTAATGAAAATATATTTTCTATCATTATTTATGATATAAATTATTCTATAGAAAGATGGACATTTAAATCAATAACTATTTTTTCTAGGAAAAATATTAAGATGTAGATTTATGATATTTTCAGCGGAAATTAAAATTTATAAAAACATGTTATTATATAGTATTATATAGTATTATTTAATGACATGTTATTATATAGTATTATTTGTAAATATATGCACCTCATGCTTTCATACGAAAAAAGAAAAAATTAACACTTAAAATATTCATTCCATTATGTTTTACTTTGTTTTATAGTTCCTTTTAATAAATATAGAATTTTCAGCTAAATATGAGTTTATTATCAATGATAGCATTTATTTCATATATTAATAAAAATTAATCAATTAATGAATCAATCATTCCATGATCAATGAATGCAATAATTGTATTCATTTGTACTTATAAACAAACTCTACAGTAGTGTAGGACCAATTAAAAAAAATAATAAACTCATATATTATAAAATAGTTTGAAGAGGAGTTTTATATAGAAATACAATAAAGTCATAAAGTAATAAATGTTGTATTAGAAAAACATAATTTCAAAAATGATTTAAAATGATTTAATTTAAAAAATATGTAATGGAATGACAATTATTAAATAAATGTTACAACATAAGTGCCTATGGCAATTTTCATAAAATATACCAAATAGTGATTATTAAAGTAAAATAACAAAATTTATTATCATGTGCAATATGAAATAATTAAGCTTGTAATTGGAAATAGAATCACATCAGTACAATAATTTTTCAACTCAACAAATATTCTGATAGAATTAAATTATAAATAACATGAGGTATTGCATTAAAATTTTATTGCAATAAAGTCATTAAATATTTTTGATGCACTAAAACTTTTACCAATAATCTTACTATAAAATATTAATATACTACATGTCACAAATTTTATTGTTTCATTTCTTAATTAATAAATGGAAACAATCTAATTTAATGACTATGTTTAAAAAAATTAATATAAGTAATATTATAATGTAGTCAAACAAACAATGCAGGTTGTCTGAGTTTCAAACTGAAACTCTTAATAGTATTGGACTGTATGTAAAAGTCATACTCATTCTTTTAAATCAGTAACAATAAGTATATAGTATTTACATGCAAAACTAAAATATGTTAACTCAATTGTCCAAAGTACTGTTCTGCATCCATCTATTGTACCTGCTTTGAAACTCAAATTGCCTTAATGACAATTATTATACATTGTACATATAGACAATACAGTATATGAACTTAAGAAAATAGCAGCTAAGATATAACATATATCTAACACGTGCTCATTGGACGAAATAATTAATAAGATATACAAAGATGTACTTTATAATAATCATATATATTATATCTATTATATTTATGCGAGTAGTTGCATAAATTGTTCCTTCTTGTGCAGTGGCAGCTAAACTGATTAGTTCTATTATTCCTTAATAATAAATGCGATACACAAAATTTGTGTTATAAACAAATAAAGTTGATTTACAATAATTGATTTACAATAATTAAATGTTTAATTAATAAAATAATAATAAAAATCTTAAGAGCATGATATAAGTTATTCGATAATTCAATTTTGTTAAAATAAAAGTTCTTTTATATAAGATAGAAAGTGTTAATTATTTATATTCATTCACGTTTGAAAATGAAATATATTATTTAAAATTTTCATTTAATTAAAAAGTTAATATACGTAAAGAAAAATAAAAATATATATTATGATTTTATTTCATATATAAATATATTAACTTATTAAAATATAAATATTTCCACAGCCTATCTTTAATAATAAAATATACACATTATTATTAC